TTCAGATTTGGATATAGCTACCATATATAACTTCGTTCGATTTACCTTTGATTGTGCACCAAACTTGAATTCTCCAATAAAAACTTTTAATTATTATGCGCAGCTCTACTAAATTAGCAAAGTGGTGTAGGGTATCATAAAGTCGGCCCCGCCCGACTTTAAGACTTTCTTTACTGGTTTCATATGCTGTAGTACCCACTATGGACTTTAATGGGTCAGAACGACCTCTTTGTGTGGATTTTCAGATAATTCCATTGAAAAATTTGACAATGGTCAAAATGCCGAATATCGGGGGGTACTGTTATATGGGGTTTATATGATATCGTGGACCTATTCGTGGACAACTCACTTTCAGGTGGTAAAGTACACAAAAGGAACTCCTGTTGTTAATTTTCAAACAATTCCATTGAAAAATTTGGCTACAATCATTAAAATACCGAATATCGGAGAGTACCGTTATATTAGGGTTATACAATATCGTGGGCAAATAAAGCCCATCTTCGAACTTGACTTGTCTGCAGACAAAAGACAGATCTGTGCAAAATTTTAGCTTCCCATCTTAATTCCTTTTGACTCTAGCGTGATTACACGAGACATACGGTTATTGCTAAATCGTCTTAAAATTTTACGCTGATCAAAAATATGTATACTTTGTTAGGTCTAAATTATTATTTCGATGAGTTACAAACGGAATGCCAAACTTAATATACTCTCCATACTATGTTTGGAGGAGGCAACAAAAACAGTCAATTTTCGGCCAGACAGAACTTTTAATACCCTCCACATTTGGACGGAACTTTAAAAAATTCACAAAAATTCCGTTGAAAAATATCGCTTAGATGAAAGCAGTTATATGGGAAGTGTACGAAGACATACCCCTGCATAAACATTGTTTTTCCCAGGCTTTTGTTCCGATTACGAACTTTACATAAGAAATTTGAAACAATTCCGGACTATTATGTCTCTAAAATCATTAAAATACCGAATCTTTCATCAACAAGGCCCATTTACCAACTTAACTTGCTTATTCTTACAAAATGCATTAACCACTAAAACTATAGGTCAGCAACGCACTTCAATCACATTAAGATAATAAAAAAAATTGAAGCTCAAGCTCTGAAATCTCTTATTCCATGTCGAAATTTTTTTCAATACTGGAAGTAGTGAAAATATCGACATATGCTTCTTTCCATAACCTTTCACCTAAGTCAAAAAACAACACCGATTCCAATTCTTAGTCAATACGTGTTTCTTAACATCACACCGTTCACAGCGTCTTATTCACTCGTGCTGTAACCGAAATCACATGACATTTACGTTACAGCATCCCCAGGGCGCCCTAATAGAACACCGGTTTGTTGGTTGGGTGCCATTAAAAAAAAGTAAAATTACAATGCGTTTATTTTGGCTTTCTAATTTCAAACGAAACAAAAAATAGAAAAAAACAAAATCGAAAACTTTAACAAGAAAATAAAACTATCTAAGAAGTGCGTGCCAAAATTTTCTAATTGTTTAAAAATAAATATTGGCACGTTTACAAAATTGGCGCACTTCTTGCACTCTGCAATTAAATAATACGCTTTAAATAAAAACCAAAACAGAATAAGAAAAAAAAAACAAATAACAAAGAAAACTGTCAGATCACACGAGGCCATAGAGACGACCAATGAAATTATTTACATCAGTGTGTGTGTGTGTGCAAATGTGGGGAAAATGAAAATTAACGAGTTGAATGAGCGGCTGCACCTCCAATACATGATGTGTCAACTATTTAGTATACCTTAATACACGACTGTTTCCTGAGGAGGAAAATTCAAAAAGAGAGAAACTCTTTGTCTTATCATTTGCGCAAGAAAAGATAAAGTGAACTGCAACTACGCAAAAAGTAAAGAGAACAATTGCAAGTGCTCAAATCTTTTCTAGAGTTGCCATTTCAGCACCTTTCATTTGATATTTCGGATTCTTTTGTGTGTGTAGATTATCTACTCTCAAAAAATACTCAATGTAGGTATAGCCCCAAATATATAACGGAACTTCCAAATTTTGAGGATAGCCGATTTAGACAGGTCACAAGGTAAAGGGTATAAAAAATTATGTCCAGCCGAATTTCAAATCAATGTTTATACCCTACACCACTCAGTTGTCAGGGTGTTACATCTTTGTGTCTGAAAATACATTTTAGTAAACAAAATGCAGGTCGCATTTTTTGTCCGATTGAGATAAAATTCTTCACACACCATTTGTTTGGCCTAAGGACGAATCATTTTGCAACTGGTGATAACCGGTCCAAATTTTGATATAGCTCCCATTTCAATTTTCTTGAGGGTCATATGTGTAATATTAGTCCAGGATGCATTTCGACACATCCGACCGAATTCATCCTAGGAACAAGTACTATAAATTTCGAAATCGAAAATTAAACGATTCAAATATAAGCTAAAGCTCCCATATATATGTTTCTTTCGATTTATTGTTTACGTCCCTCACAGATATCACATACAGCTTAGAAATACCTCCTTCAAATTTTGTCAAGATCGGTTCAGATCTGGATATTTGTGCACCAAATAATTAATATTAGGTTAAGTGGATTGGATTTTACTGCATCCTGCTGAATTCAGCCTAGAAGCAAGTACTACAAATTTGGTTTGCGTCCTTCACATTCGCAATATACACTCCACAAAACAGAAATGTAATTCCAGATATCAGATACAGCCCAGAAATACCTCTGTCAAATTATATCGGGATCGCATAAGATTAAGATATAGCTCCCATATATATCTTTATCCGATATCAGGTTTATTGTGCACCAAATGGCTAATGTCAGTCCAAATGAACTGATTCTTGGCAATTCCGACTGAAGTCATCCTTCAAATAAGTACATCAAATTTGGTGAAAATCGGTTCAGATATAACCACAACTCCCATATATATGTTTCATCCGATTTTGGGTTTTAAGACCCTCACATGCGTAATATGCACTCCATAACAATGATCTTTGGTAACAGATATCAGATACGGCTCAGAAATAAGTGCCTAAAATTTTGTCAAAATCGGTTCAGATTTGAATATAGGTCAAGATATATCTTTATTCGACATCAGGATTATTGTGCACCAAATGGGTAATATCAGTCAAAATGGACTGAATTTTGGCACTTTCAACGGATTTCAAACACGAAGCAGGTAATTTAAATTTTGGTGAAAATCGGCTCAGATATAGCTATAGCTCTCATAGAAGGTGAGATAAAAAAAACTGCAACAAAGTCAAACGCCATAACTTTTTTTTTAAATTTTATTAAATGAAAGCAAAAAATGTCGGAAATAGCATCACATTTTAGAATAAGTTTAGATTTGTTCGAAATGGTCACCATTGGCAGGAATTATGGCCTTCAAACAGCCAGTGAAACCGTCACACGCTGCCCGAATGTTGCTCTGCGGTATTTTGGGCCCATTCCCGGCGAAGCGCTTGCTTGAGGTGATCAACACTTTGGTATTTTTTAGTGCCATCCTTGCTTTCCAAAATACTCAAGACACAATATTCCAACGGATTGGTATCCGGAGATTTTTGTGGCCATTGGCGCTAGAAATGAAGCGAGGAACCTCATTTTGTAACCATTCTTGGGTGGCACGTGCTGAGTGCGATGGTGCTGAGTCCTGTTGGAATGTTCAAGGTCTGCGGCCAAAATGTTTGCGTGCCCAAGGCTTTAATACACCCTCCAGAATATTTTCACTATAATATTCGGCATTTATTCTATTTCCACCAGCGACCATCGGCTGTTGGTGCACATTTTCAGCTGACCTCCTTGAGAAGTGAACACGAACAATTTGTTTGCTTACAAACTGCTGGAAAACGAATGTTTTCTCATCGGAGAAAACCAAATTCGGCAGTTCACCACTTTCGTCCAAGCGAAGCAACTCTTCAGGTCTTTTGAGTATATTTTCCTTCTGTTGCGATGCAAGTTCTTGAACTTTTTGGAATTTCAATGGCTTTACCCCAAACTCATTTTTCAATATTTGCCGAATGGAATATTGCGATATTTTCACCTCACGTGTCATTTTTGGGCAACTGCAACGCGGGTTTCGATGAAGTCGCTTCTTTACTCTTCGAACCATTCCTGCTGATGTAGCTGTTTTCTTCCGTCCTTCCTACGCTACCAGTATCGCTGTAACGAGCGATGGTACGAGACACAAAAGATTTATTCACATTTAAATGCTGGAGTGCTCTAACGATAGCCACTTGTGGTTCTCCAGCCAAAAATATAGAAATCACACTATCACGCTTGAATAACTTTTTTCTGGAGAATCCTCACCAAAATGCTTTCGTATACTTGTAAACAATATAATGAGCTGTCACTGGAATACTTTTAGCAGATGTCGGATGCTGACAGGAGTCTGAAGTTGCTTGCAGTTTTTTCATCTCACCTGTATATGGCGCCCAATATGTATTGGCTTTTTATTGACAAAACCTCTGGATCTAGCAGCGATTTTGGTCTTCAAGGTTTCATTATCAGGCAGTAAATGAATATATTGCGTTAGGATCCATAACACAACCTTTTTAGTCAAATCTTATGTTAATAAAATAAACCCATTTTATTCTTTATAAAATTAATTTCTTTAAAAAGTTATTTAGACATGGCAACCCTAGATGAGATCATTAGTGAGAGCGAATACATTGAACTATTAGCCACTCCTGCACTGAATGCCATACAAACTAATTCAAATTTCCACTGAATGATTGAAAACTCTCATCGCTCACCCGTCAATGGGCTGGCTGGCTCACCGGTATATCCAGCGATCGCAATATTTGGGTTCAGCGGCAGCGTTGCAATGCCCGATACAAATGAGATCAGCTGAGCGTCATAACAACCGACCATGCCACGCTTCTTTGTTTGTTTTTCTTTGCTCAATTTTGTTTGGGTCTCTTTCTTTCTGCTGTTGTCGCTGATGCAGATTCGTTCGTTTCTTTTGTTTTTGTTTTGCGTAGTATAAAAACAGCTGATGCCAGAGCTTTTTAAACATTTGAAAAACGGAAGACTTACCAAGCGGTTTGTAACTGAAAAAACAGAAACTAAAACAAAAATAAGTAAAATAAATTATTTCAAAGAAGAATTTATTAAATAATTAATTTCGCAATAATAAAAAGCAAAACCAGTGCAAATGTTTTATAGGCAAACTTTTTAAAGTGCAATATAATTAAAAAAACGAACAAATTTTCTTATAAATATTTTCTCAATTGTGAAAATTGTTATTGGAAAAGTAAAATAAAAATAAAAAAAAAAATTGTGAACAAACGAAAAACAAAGAAAGAAATTTAAATAAATCTTTTTAAAAACCATAAGAAACTCCAATCAAAATGCGTCCCTTCGGAAACGACATCACTAATATTGCCAACAATGGCAATAACGGTAATAACGGAAACAATAATAACAATAACAACAACAATAATAACGGAAATAATGCTGTTGATATCCCCATGGTGGAAGATCCTCGGGTCCCACCCCACATTGCTAGAATTGGTGGTATTGTCACATTTTCACCTGTAGCTGGCCAAGGAGTTATTCGTGTTGTGGGACGCTGCGAAGATGCCAAAGAGAATAATATGTTGGGTAAGTTAAGAGAAGAGGGATTTTGGCAAAGCTATGAAAAAGATATATACTACTACAACAAAGTAAATACCAACTATAAATAATGAACTAGTCCTAAAAAAATTGGAGAACCAATACGATCGGAATAATTCCCACATATGTAAGTGGATTCGAAACAGAAAATTAAAAAAAAGATGAAGTGTTTGTAGAAGTGAAAAATATCGTAAATGAAATAAGCCGTGATTAACAATAAATCAGAATGTCCGAGTTGAATATCAGCTGAAGACGAAATAATAATCCCACAGTTCTAAAAATAAACAAGCACATGTTTTTCTATAATATGCCTGCTTTTAACCTGGCAAAAATATTGGTTATTTTGTAAGTAGTTACGATTATTTGGTAGCGGAAGCTTTTCCTGAGTGCTATGAAAAATATCTTCAGGTGGAAAATTATGAGGCAATACTAGAAATTTAAATACTTTATTTTTAGTGAAAAGTCGAAATCTAAAGAAAACTAGTTCCAGTCGGAGCTACGGACCAGACTCCGATATCGAAGCAATTATTTAGAAGATACCGACTCCGAAAACAAAAATTATGGTGACAACCCCTTGCTTTTCATCGTCCTCTAAAAATTGGAAATTCGACTTTGAACTATGACTGCAACAGTAAAGTAATCAAAAAATAAAGATAGAAGTAAAACCAGTAAAGAAAATTTTTAAAGTCGAGCGGGGCCGACTATATGATACCCACATATTTAGAAGAGCTACCCGTAACATATAAATGTTTAAATATATAAAGTAGACCATGCCACTTACAATCGCTGTTGAATACGTATTATGGCTTTAGAGCACTTATAATTTGAAATCGAATGGAAGAAAGAAAGAGTTATTCTTCTCTGAATCGATGTCCACTAATTTTGAAGGAGGCACTTGTGTCTGAACCGGTTTTCACCAAATTTCATTCTTTTTGAGCTGATGCACAACAAACTTTAAATCGGTTAAAAAATATTTATGGAAGCTATATCCAAATCTGAACCGATCTCGATAAAATTTGACAAAGGCTATTAAGACTGTAAAAAAAAAATAATTGGATGAACAACATATATTGAAGCTACAGCTATATCTAAACTGATTTTCACCAAAATAGACATGTGGTGTGATGTGTCAAATTCCATGCTATTTAGACGAATATTAGACATTTGGTGCGTAATAAAAGGCAAACTGGGCAAAGATTTATACGGGAGCAAAAATTAAATTTGGAGCTATTATCTCTGTAGGTGAGAAAAGAAAACCAACCGAATGGTTTGGCTGTAGGTTCAATTCTGATTTTATTACCAAAATATAATTCTTAAGTTTTACAAAAACTAATCTAACTTAACCTAATCGCAGCCACACAATTATTCTTATCTATTCTAATATTGAATGGAGAACATTGCAGAGCTGCTTGACATTTCATTCAAGTGGTCTTGTGCATATACTAAGTGCATATCTTACACATTATCGTATGCGGCTGGGAAATATGTAATTTTACAATATATATTGTTCCCCAGTGCCTCAACCGCACTCAAAAGTATGTACAAAGTTTTTTATACAATCTCCAATCTCAATAAGGTTCGCCCTTGGGTCAAGGAGTAACCCGATAAATTCCATGCTTACATGATGTTTATTGATTGAGAGAATTATTTAGATACACCAAATTTAAAAAAAAGATCGCTGACATGTTTTGCATTTTATAAGAAATAAAGAGTTGGGCTGACCTTGCAATGATACACATATTAGGATTTGCAAAGTTGGAACAAAATTCTATACTTATGAGAAATATTATTTTCTTTAAAAATGTTGACATTTTCTGTGGGAGATAATAAGAATGTGCGGACCGATATTGGCCATCTCCGAACTCGATAGAAGTTTGATAATAATATTGCCAAGTACATGGTACACCGCTGGAACGATTCCAAATGTCCTGAAACGGATTTCGTCCAAAGAGATCTAGTGTCTACAACAGTTATTTCGATGAGGCACGTTTTGGCCTTCTGTAACGCCATTATTGAGGGTTTAAAAATAGTCCGTCTTTGAATACACACCACAATTTAATAAAAGTTTGGTCCAAAACTTACAAGTTTCTACAAATTTTGCCTAATAAAATATAAAATAATAAACCGTTTCCGTACTTAAAAGTATTGCGAAAAGTTCACTTATCTTTAAGCAAAAATGGCGCTCTATCCCTCTTTTTGTATGGGTAAACAAATTTTGAAAAATCTGTCAAACAGCGAATTTGATACTTCATTCAATAAAATTTAAGTCGTCTGCAAAGTGTGGCTATGATCATCAAAATACCAAGGCTATACGAAAACTGGGCCCCTTGGTAAAAATTTCAGACTTAATATACACATGCCCAACATTTTAGCCACCTAGGTCAGTCCGAAAATAAGAGTGATAACCACAGCAGGGCATGCATAAAGTCATCTTAGAATTTAACAATTAAACAATTATTTAATGAATTGCAAATGGAGTGACATATATAATATTCCCTATGCTATGTATGCTGGAGGGTATAAAAAGTAAGCCAACAGTTGTTACAGTTGCACTTGAGTGGAAACTTTAGGGCGCTTGTAGTATCATCAGATCAAGAAAAGTTAGGTGCAAGCTAATGTTCACAAACTGTGATAAACAATTAAACAAAGGCTGAAGTCGTGCGAGGCCCACCATGCGATACTGAACAACGCTATAATATATTGGAAAGCCCTCTTAGATTCAACCTCATTTTGGTCGATTTCGTTTTTGAAAAAATGCCAATAGTCCTGGGATTTTTTTTTTTGTCCGATGGCATTTGCCCCATATTTTAGCCCTCTGTCATGTTGATAGGTATTTAAAATAATTTCACACAAGAATTGTGGTCCATTTTACTCACTAAAATGCTAGATTTCTGCACTGTTATCAAGTCGAACCTATTGTCGATTAGTTTTCAATTGTGTAGAGTAAGTGCAAACTCACAATTTTTTTTTTTTTTTGGTTTATTTTAACCCTTAAATATTTTGCCTAACCTCATGTTGAATTTCGTGAGTATCGAACTATAATTTCGACCTGTATATTATTATCCCAGCATATGGTGTTGCAAGGTATAAAAAATATTACAAAATGTACAATTCAAGACTGAAAGTTAAATTGAAAAAATTGTATTCAATAAAAAATCTGACAAAAAAAAAATTGGTTGGCTTCTGTCCCGCAGATAACTCTTCCCCCATGTAAATTCCCCGGCGTTGATTGTTCTATAATTGTGACCTGTTTTTGTTCCATTTTACGCATTAAATATTTTGCCACACTATTTTATTGTGGCAGGTTCTACACAGGGAATACCAATATTACCTTTAATAATCCAGCGATAACTAAATTAACATTTTTCAAATGTATTTGTTGTAATTTTACATGATGTATTGTATGGCGGTAAAAAATGTCCTAGTGAAAAATGTTTCAATCAGGCTTGCATTGCTATTTTATACGTGCTTACAATATTTTTTAGCATTTTTTGGTGTTCTGTACTATTTAAATTACTAACAAGTATTATTTACTACGTTACTTCCGTATTAAGAAACAATAATTGCATTCAACAATATTTTTAATACTATTTTATATTCTATTATTTAACAACAATATTATTTAATAACATATATTTATTTATAAAATTGTAGCTATAACTAAAATAATTTAGCCAATGGCTCATTTGTTCGACATAATGGCTATAAATCATATTGCAAAACCAATTACATATTGGTTAATTGTTATTTATTAGCACAAAAAATGGGTTATCGGCTACAATTTACCAAAAAACAATGTCCAAACAAAAAAAATAAAAAATAAATTCAATCAAACTTAATAATGTCTGGACGTAGTACCCAATCTAAGCTGTGCTAATTTCGTTATGCCGCTGCCAAGAAAGTAAAACAAAAACCAAATAAATTTTAGCCCAAAAATTTCCCATAAATAACATTACTAAAATTGCATTAACGGGCATGTAACTAGTAATAACTTTCATTTGCCAGCCAACTGACCGCTGTAAACAATTTTACAATGGTTTTGGGATTTTTAGATTTTATATAACTTACACTACATGCAAGTACGAAAACAAACATACATTCTCACACATGTTTGAGCATAGCTTGTTATATTTTCCCACTTTGAAGACAGTGAAAATTTATTCTTTTAGACCGTTGTTATGATTGTTTGGTTAATTTCTTTTTTCATTTGAAAAAATGAACCAAAATTTTCCGCAATTAAAAATTTTTCATTTTTAAAGCCTAACATTCACACAACACTTTTGATAAGTGGTAAAAACGTAATTTTTGGTGTTTTGATTGCTTGTCTGTCTACTAGTTTAGCTGTCTGTCTTTCTGTCTCTCTGTCAGTCATCAAATGTGGTTAGGCTTTGCCACCTCATAGCGGCTAATCATCAGCACCTGAAGCAAATGTTAAAACGTCATGCATATGTGTGGTAACATAATAACATATTGCGCGGTAAATTGTTTAATTAGGTCGACTAAGTTGTTCCCTATATGAAAGATAATTTGCGAAATGTCAACGTCGTTGTTAGGAAAATTAAAAGTTAATGACATATATTATAAATTGTCTGCATGGAAGTAGCAGATAATCGTTCTCCCTATAACTGTGATTAATTTTATTTCATTGTAAAAAAAAAATTAACTAGATGTTGTCTTTTTAGGTAAAAACACAGAAAAGAATCCGATACGGGATAGAATTATTGACAGCTGTATGCTAAAACTTGACTTAAAGATACTACATAAAAATTATGTCAGATATGGTGATTTATAGTCAAATGTGGCGATTTTCAATTGGTTTGGCGAGTTAATTTTTAATTTGACAACATGGTAATTATTTTAGCGGATTATAAAATACGATCAGTTGGCGATTTCTTTAACGAATTGTAGGAAATGACATCAATTTGTAATAGATACGCACAAAAGCTAAAACATTGAAAATCAGTAGTTCTACTGAGCGCTGCATTTTT